GCTGCACCGCCAGCAGCACCACCGCCCCATCTGCTTCACCCTCTCGGGACCTAAAGCAGCATCACCAATCAATCGGCTGCACCGCCAGCAGCATCACCGACCAGTCAGCTGCACCGCCAGCAGCACCACCCCGATACTAGCATGGGGAAACTCTCAAAGCTCGAGATGCGGGTGGACCCCACCGCCCTACCAACTAGCGAAGAGCACACGCCGGCACCTAGGACACTCAAGGGTGGCGCCAAAGTTCACAGCGAAGAGGTGTTTAGGGAGGACTACACAATTAAAAAACTCCGCGGACAGGCCCAGCATAATAGGAAGCTAACAGTAGTCCAGACTGAGAGGGTCTCATAGGGCAATGATGTACACAAGCCCTACGACCTCACTGTTACCCTACCTATGCTTATAACTAGCGAGAAAGTGGTCCTTGCAAACAAGCTAGTCTGATACGTCCTCAAAACACAGACCTTCTGTGACTATACTGACACGCTAGTGAAAGCGCTTAATAAGGCAGAAGAGGAACTACTAGAGGCTTAGGCACAGGTAACTACATCTTAGGAGCTGCTAGACGAGGCCTTAGCAAAGCTAGCCAACTAGAACATTAAAGCCGCCACCTTAAAAGACCCGCCTAAGCCGGCATCTGCAGACACTCTTCGCCTATACCTCCTAAGACAAACGGGTAGCGCACTCGCGGTGGCACCAACTGTGAGCACCCTAAGGAAGCAGCTGCGCTTTAAACCTATGACTCCAGCCACACTAAACACCACGCAGTTCACCTCGCAGAGCCAGGGAGGAGGCTCACAACACTCTGCTAAAGTAGCAGACCCGCCTATATTCACAGGCGACAATGACTATGACATCGAGCACTGGAAGGACCTGCTAGCAGGCAAGCTGCTGCACAACGCTGACCACTTTGTCCCCCTAGATAGCGACTTAGGGAACCATGAGGATGCGCGAGCGCACTACACTAAATTAAGGATAGGCGGGAGAGCCCTGAGCTACCTACGACTGCACCTTAAGGCGATGGAGAAACGCGACTAGCAGGTGACGGCTGCTAGCATTGTTAAGTTCCTAGAGAAAGCCTTTGTTGACACCCACTAGCGCTCTAAAGCTAGGGCTGAGCTCTGCCAGCTAAAGATGAAGTTATCCCAGGACTTTAGGGACTTTAAAGCCTAGTTCACCCAACTAGCCAACAAAGCTGAGCTGCCGCTAGACTAATGGAAGGACGAGATCCATGATGCCCTCTCAGGCCCGCTGCCCGTACACATGGAGATCTACTGCCACGACCCTGCAATAAGCCTCTTTAACTACTGCTACTGGGCCTGACAGATCACGTTCTCTCTACAGAAGGTAGCCGCAGAGACTAGTGCTCGGCGCGCTCAGAGGAGTCTAGAGAAGCCCACCCGCAAGAACATTCTGCAACTACGGGTCGCTGCTCCACCAGCGCAAGCCGCAACTCTACCGCCGCTGCTAACAACTAAGGACGATGTCACGTGCTATCGCTGTCACAAGCCAGGACATCTCGGCCGCGACTGCCTGCGTGTTCGTACAGAGAACAAGCTCATGGAAGCTGTGAACCTAGACACAGAGTCAAGCGATGAGGAAGCACTGTTGTCGGGGGAAGCCTCACTCTAGGGGAAGTCTCCTCCCTAGAGACACACGACGGAGCCCCTAGTCCTGACCCGCGGCGGCTACTCTTTAGCAGAAAGCTATTCACGCTGCCCTGCCGCATCTCTACTAACAGGACAGCTATTAAGTTTAATGGCCTTATTAACATGGGTGCAAGCAGCTACAACCTCCTCCATCCTAAGCACTTGTGTACGGTGAAGAAAGGTCTTAAGGCAAAGCTCTCTAAGATGGCGCCTGTCCCTCTGGCAGGGTACAATAATAGACTAAACAGACAGGTATATAAGTACTTCAAAGCTGATCTAGTTCTAGATGGCCACTAGATACTATTGTACTTTATACCCTGCAACACTAGTCGTCACGACCTCATCATTAGTCGCAAGCTGCTAGAGGAAGCAGGCGTGTAGATCAACTGCAAGAACTGTGCACTAAGATGGCTAGAGGACAACAGGCTAATTAATTGTAAACGCGACATTAACATCCCTGTGCGCAGCTTGTCTCCAGAGATGAACCTAAGTTACTAAGAAGACGCTGAGCGACGCGACAAACTTATAAGTGTTGCCGCACTCTAACTAGTAGGCAAACAAAGGGCGACTAAGCATCTTGTGTATAAGGAGAACTTTAGGAAGATGCGTGACTAGCTTAGCACTCTAAAGCTAAGTTTACCACCCTATTAGAGAAAGCGCCGCAACTTAACCATGTTACGCAACACACTTATTAATGCCGGCCTAGACATTAATGTAATAAGTCCTGCCGCCTTTATGCTGCATGCTTAATAAAAGGAAGTTGTTATTAGTCACATAAGTGTGTACAAAGTGGAGAAGCTCATCTAGGATTGTCAAGAAGAGACAAACCAGCTTGACCCAGAGGAGGAGCTCCGCTAGTTGATTCAACAAAAGCTCCCAGCACTGTTGTATGCAGGAGCTACGCTGGCCCACTTCTCTAAAAAGGACTCTAACAAGCTCCTACCTTACTGTAAGGGAGTTGACTACAACATCTAGCTTACAGCAGAGAACACACTGTTAAGCAGCCTGCTGTACAGCATGTCGCTAGAGCAACTTAAGCTAGTTAAGACCTACCTTAATGATTACCTGCAACGTGGTTTTATCACACACAGCAGCGCCAGCTATGCGTCTCTAGTGCTGTTTGCTAAGAAGCCAGGAGGGGGGTAGCGGTTCTGTGTTAACTATTAGAAGCTTAATGCAATCACAAAAAAAGACGCATACCTAATTCCCTTAATCTAGGAGACTTTCACCTGACTAGCGCGTGCCAGGGTGTTCACTAAGCTAGATGTATAATAAGCCTTTTACCGCATCTGTCTAAACAAGGAGGTGGAGGACCTTACCACCTTTTAAACGTGTTATGGCAACTACAAATACTGCGTACTACTGTTTAGCTTATGCAACAGACTAGCCACGTTCTAGCGCTACATCAACAAGGTGCTCCACGGCCTGCTAGACGACACTTGCATAGCATACCTTGACAACATCCTTATCTACTCAGAAGACCCGCTCCAACATGAGGAACATGTCGCACAGGTGCTCTGTCGACTACTAGATGCTGGCCTCTAGGTAGACATTAAGAAGAGTGAGTTTGCTGTCACAGAGACAAAGTTCCTAGGTCTAGTTATTAGCACCAATGGCATGCGCAAGGACCCAGAGAAGGTAGCAGCTGTACGCGAATAGCCTGTACTGACATTAATTAAGAGTCTGCAATCCTTCCTAGGGTTCTGCAACTTCTACTAAGCATTCCTAAAGGACTACAGACGCATTGTACAACCGCTCACAAAGCTGCTTAAGCGCAGTGCCTAGCACCACTTTAGAGAACGCGAGCTGGCAGCTTTTAATTAAGCTAAGGACCTAATGCTATTAGACGCTGTCCTCGCACACTACTCGTCCCACCGCCAGACACGCATGGAGACAGACGCCAGCGACGGCGTTGTAGCAGGTGTGCTTTCCTAGCTGCAGGACGACAGACTCTGGCGACTAGTAGCCTTTTATTTAAAGACTATAAGCGCGCCCTAGATGAACTGCAACATCCATAACAAAGAGATGCTTGCTGTGGTACAAAGCCTACACAAGTGGTAAGCTTAGCTTATAGGCCTACAAATAACTAAGCTATTTAGCGCCCTAACAGACTATTAAGCATTAGAGTACTTCTTAGTTAAGCGTAAGCTTACCCTACAGCAAATGCGCTAGGCTATAACAGTAGCTAACTACAACCTAAAGCTTACCTACTAACTAGGGACTGCTAACGTGGTGGCAGACGTGTTGTTAAGAAAGCAGGAAGAGCTAAAGACTTAGAAGGACAAGGATAAGGCAGCTTGTACGCGCGCCTTCCTTATAGCACATTAGGTCAACTTTAGCACTGTTAAGGCTATAGTAGACAACCTAGCTTAGCAATCTGCACAAGGACTACTAGCTGTAAATGCTGTAAAAGTAGCTACTAGTAACACCTTTATAGCTTCTCTATCTCTAGACAAGCCTTATGCGCTAATTAACTGCGTCCTTAAAGTAAACTAGAACTATGTAAGCCTGCAGCTATATTAAGAGCAGGCCTAGAACAAAGCAGAGACGCTATAGAAGCTTATAAATAAAGGCTTCCTTACGCGCAACAGCAAGCAACTAGTGGTTCTAGCTGTCCACTTTATACAGACCTATCTTATTTGCGCAGTTTACGCAACCTAAGTAACTGCTTACCTAAGCAGAAGAAAGACTCTAAAACTACTGCGTGACTAATACTACTAGCCCTGCATAAGCTAGGACGTTACTAACTATGTTATAGTGTGCAAGGCCTGTTAATAGAGCCACACACCTTAAGATAAAACCCCAGGACTGCTTAAGTCACTGCCTATCCTGCAGCAAGTCTAGCAGGATGTCTCTATAGACTTTAAGTTATTCCTACTAGACAAGAAAGGGTATAATAACACTTTTATAGTAGTAGACTGCTTAGGCAAACGCTGCTTCTTACTACTGTGCTATAAGACAACAACAGCAAAAGACACAGCAGACTTGTACTATCACTACATCTAGCGCATCTTTGGCTCCCTAAGGTCTATTGTCTCTAATTAGGGCCCCTAATTTACTTTAGGGTTTATAGATAAGCTCTGCTAACTTACAGGAATTAAGCAGAAGCTCTTAACGCCCTACCACCTGCAGACAGACAGCAATATAGAGGTGCTAAACTAGTATCTTAACTAGCGCTTGCGACCCTTTATAAACTACTACTAAGATAACTAGTCAGACCTCCTGCCATGCATAGATTAGGCACAAGCTACGCTACCCTACAAGACAACTAGACTATTGCTGTTTAAGATTAAATTTAGTCACTAACTAACTCACTATTAGGACTAGAAGGAACAGACTAAGTAATTAAGTTCTGTACGCAAGCAGATGTCGCGCGAAGAGGCCCAGAGCTATGCTAAAACTCAGCGCGACGCAGTGCAGCTCGCTACAGAGATAGCTTAGAGAGGCATCGCGCAGGCCCAGCAGCGACAAGTAACCTAGGCAAACAAGAAGAG